CGAACCACGTAAATCTTGTCTTGTCTTGTCTTGTGCAATTTATTGCTTCTCTTTCAAATATTTTTCCCTTCTATTAGCCTGACACGTTTCCCAACAACTAGTATCAGAGCACAAAAAATGTAATTCTGGTAGAAAAGTACGGTACTGGTGCAGGTACTATTCACAAGAATAGTGCGACACTATTGATCATCATTACTATTCACAGGCGCTATTTACATAAATTTTGTTTTGTGAAAATGGCATCGAAAGAAGGGAAGGTTAAGATTGACAAGTTCAATGGCAAAGATTTTGGATTCCTAAAAATGCAAATAGAGGATTATTTGTACTAGAAAAAATTACACTTACCTCTGACCGAGGTAAAACCAGAGACTATGGCCAAAGCGGATTGGGGTTTATTAGATCGCCAAGCTCTTAGTATGATTCGTTTGATGCTAACACGAAATGTGGCATTTAACATCATTAATAAGAAGACCAATGCAGGCCTGATGAAGGCGTTATCAAATATGTACGAGAAGTCATCTGCTTCAAATAAAATCTATTTGATGCGTCGATTATTCAACTTAAAGATGACAGAAGGTGGATCTGTCACGGAACATATCAATGCGTTTAGTGTAATATTAACTCACTTGAGTTCTGTCACCTTAACATTCGATGACGAAGTCAAAGCATTGATTCTACTATCATCTCTATCGGAGAGTTGGTTTGCAACAGTAACTGTAGTTAGCAGTTCATCGGGAAGTACCAAACTCAAATTGGATGATATTAGAGACTTGGTTCTAAGTGAAGATATTCACTGGAGAGAATCAAGTGATTCCCCAGGATCTGTTTTGAATACCGAAAGCAGGGGGAGAAACAACCAAAGAGGACAAAGTCATGGTCGTGGTAGATCAAAGTCAAGGAGAAGAGGGCAATTCAAAAATCGCAAAGACATTATGTTTTGGAATTGCGATAAAAGGGGTCACTACAGTAGTCAGTGTAGAGGGCCAAAGAAGAAGAAGAATGATCAATACAAGGATGATAATTCAGCAAATGCAATTGCTGAACAAGTCGGTGATGCACTAATTTGTTGTGAGACAGTCCAGTCGAATCTTGGATTCTCGACCCAGGTGCATCCTTTCACTCTACATCATGCAAAGAATTATTGCATAATTATATTGTTGGAAATTTTGGGAAAATTTATCTAGCAGACGTCGAACCTCTGGACATTGTCGGGAAAGGTGAAGTTCATATAAAGACTTCACAAGGCACGCTATGAAAATTGTAAAATGTCCAATATGTTCCTGGCCTCAAGAAAAATCTGATATATATGGGTCAGATTGACAGTGAAGGATATACAACAACATTCGGTAACGGATTGTGGAAGATAACCAAAGAAAATTTGGTTGTGGCACGAGGCTTCAAGAATGGAACACTATATGCAACTGCAATACAGAGATATACTATAGCAACAGTTGATCATGGTCGTGATAAAACATTGTGGCACTGGAGGCTCGGGCATATGAGTGAGAAAGGAATGAAGTTATTGGCATCCAAAGAAAATTTGCCAAACCTAAAGCATGTTGAATTAGGTTTGTGCGAAGATTGCATTTATGGGAAACAAAAGAGAGTTAGTTTCTCAAAGGTGGGAAGGACGCCAAAGAAAGAGATGCTGGAACTAGTGCATATATATGTGTGGGGACCAACACATGTAACTTCTCTGGGAGGCTCACGCTATTATGTCACCTTCAATGATGATTCCACTAGAAAGGTATGGGTTTATTTTCTGAAAAATAAATCTGATACGTTTGTTACCTTTAAAAGATGGAAAGTTGAAGTTGAAAATCAGACAAGTCTAAAGTTAAAATGTCTGAAGTGTGACAATGGAGGAGAGTATGATAGTCAAGAGTTTAAAGCATTTTGCTCTGAGAATGGATCAGAATGATCAAGACAGTTCCTGGAACACTGAAACAAAATGGTGTTACTGAGAGAATGAATAGAACCCTAAATGAACGAGCCAGAAGTATGAGAATACATTCTGGATTGCCGAAGTATTTTTGGGCTGAGGCTGTTAACATGACAGCTTACCTCATAAACAGGGGACCCTTTATACCGCTGGATTTTGAAATTCCCGAGGACATATGGACAGGAAAGGAGGTAACTCTCTCACATCTGAAATTTTTTGATTATGTTGCTTATGTGCATGTAAACTCTAATGATAGAGATAAGCTTGATCCTAAGGCCAAGAAATGTTTCTTTATTGTCCATGGTGATGATAATTTTGGTTATCGATTTTGGGATGATCAGAATAGAAAGATCTTAAGACACAAGAATGTCACATTTAATGAAAATATGATGTACAAAGACAAGCTTGAAGTAGAACCAACCAGCACTAGTAGACAGACATCTGAAATAGTTGAGTTAGAAGAAATCTCAGAAAATGAAGTGGCTAGAGAGACTACAACTGGATCTGAAATTGAAGATACCGAACCAGAAGCCGAATCTGGATCAGAATCAAAACCAAAACCAGAGATAGAATCAGATGGAGAACCAAATCTGTAGTCAGGATTTGAATCAAATTCGGGATCAGTTAATCCTGTACCTACATTAGGGAGATCTAAAAGAGTTACGAATGCTCCAGATAGGCTAACTCTCTCTCTCTCCACTATTTACTTCTCACTGATGTTGGAGAACAAGAGCATTTTGTTGAAGTAATGCAGGTGATAAGCTCTGATAAGTGGAAGCTAGCCATGAAAGAAGAGATGAATTCTCTTCAAAAGAATAAAATATGGATACTTACAGAGTTACCAAAAGTAAATAAGGCATTGCAAAACAAGTGGATGTACAGGATCAAGGAAGAGCATGATGGTAAGAAGAGATACAAAGCACGATTAGTAGTAAAAGGCTTTCAGCAGAAGGAAGGGATTGACTACACCGAGATCTTCTCTCATGTAGTCAAATTAACTACTATCATGTTGGTGCTAAGTATCGTAGCTGCAGAAAATTTGCATTTGGAGCAGCTACATGTTAAAACTGCTTTCTTGCATTGTGACCTTGAAGAAGACATCTACATGAAGCAACCTGAAGGTTTTCAAGTTTCTGGTAAAGAAAACCTTATGTGTAAGTTATAGAAGAGTTTGTATGGTTTGAAACAAGCACCCCGACAATTGTACAAGAAATTTGATGGATTCATGCATAATAACGGTTTCACACGATGTGAGATGGACCATTATTATTATATCAAAAATCTTTATAAAGCCTATATCATTTTACTATTGTACGTTGATGATATGTTAACTGCATGATCTAGCATAAATGAGATCAACATGGTTAAGCAACAACTGGTGGGGAGTTTGAAATGAAAGACTTAGGACCATCTAAGCAAATGCTTGGTATGAGGATTAGCAGAAACAGGTCTGAAAGAACCTTAAAATTGTCTCAAGAAAAGTACATACAGAAGGTGCTAAGCAGGTTCAGTCTTCATGATGCAAAGACCAGAAGCACTCTACTCGGAAGCCATCTTAATCCGTTGAAGGACCAATCACCTAATACAGATGAAGAAAAGAAGTACATGTCCAACGTTCCATATGCTTCAGCAGTAGGAAGTTTGATGTATGTTATGGTTTGCAGTAGACCTGACATAGCCCATGCAGTTGGAGTTGTCGGTAGATACATGTCAAATCCAGGAAAGGAGCATTGGGAAGGTGTAAAATGGATATTGCGATATCTCAAAAGCGCCTCAGGTATGGCACTTTGTTTTAAAAGGAGCAATATTATCTTATAAGGTTTTGCTGATGCAAATTTAGGCGGCGATCTGGATAGTCAAAAAAGTACCACAGGCTACGTGTTCACCTTGGGTGGTACTGTTGTTAGCTTGATGTCCAGACTTCAGAAAAGTGTTGCTCTATCTACCACTGAAGCAGAATACATGGCAATCTTACAAGCTCGAAAAGAGATGATTTGGGTCAAGAATTTTCTTAAAAAGCTAGGTAAAGAGCGAGACAATTGTGAGCTTTTAAGCAATAGCCAGAGTGCAATTCATCTTTCCAAGAATCCATTGTTTCATGCAAGATCGAAGCATATCGAGCTGAGGTATCATCATATCCGAGAGTTGATAAGTGAATAAAGTCTTTCCTTGCAGAAGATACGAGGATCAATGAACCCGTTAGACATGTTGACCAAAGTTGTCGGCGTTGACAAACTGAGGCTATGCACTGCCTTAGTTAGCCTTCAAGATTGATAGCGTGAAGGCGCCACCAAAAAATAGCAAATCTTTTTTTCAATTTCTTTCTTGATGTAACATAGGTTTGAGGGGGAGATTGATAGTAGCAAATATGTTGTTGTTTGTGAAAGAAAGAAAAATAGACAAAACAAAACAAAAAAATCAAAAAGAGATGAACTTATGATGTAAGCGCTTACATCGGCATTCCTATGATATAAGCGCTTACCTCGGCAGGGCATTCAAATGCCTATAAAACGAATATGCATTTTTCATTTGCAAATCATCGCTCAACTTCTTCGTTCTCTCTTCAATTAATAAAGAGTTATTCTTTGTGTGGCCGTGGAGTAGGTAAAATTGCCGAACAACGTAAATCTTGTCTTGTCTTGTACAATTCATTGCTTCTCTTTCAAATATTTTTCCTTTCTATTAGCATGACTAGTTTCCCAACACTATACACTTGAGATCAGCCAGATTTCCAAAATTGTTTTTATTCTGATTTTTAGCACGATCATGCTTGGATGGTTTTACATGAGAAACCCAAAAGTTTACTAAGTAGTACATGTTATTTATCTATATCGTTGTTTGTTCATAGTAATAATGTTTTTAGCTCTATCGGCATAATCTTTTACCTTTGTTATATTAGCACTATGAATTGAGTTGTTGTAGTAAAGATGGGGAAATTGATAAAACAACTCTTATGACATTCGGATTGTCCAGTGGCCCAACTCATGCCACGGGTGAACCGTGACTGAGATCATTTATTGGTAAATTTAACCCATGAGATAGCCACAAAAAACCCAAGAGAATAACAAGATCACAGACTACATAAATAAACACCGCACCCCGAGACTGCATCTACACAGATTACTGGTAGTCAACTCGAGGACAAGAATGACCACAAGGATAGTGGTTACATTCATAACTGTTTGTTGGTATCTAATTAACCTAGAACTTGGAAATGCAATAAAAGACATTCACACCAGTATCCTGCACTGCTCCATCCCAGAAAGGAAAGTAGCATGTGCAATAAATGAAAGGCCAATCTACATCTGATATACATTACAGTAGTAAAAGCAAGGATTGCTTAGGCCACAGCATTAGGGAGACTATTGTTGTGAGCTTCGAGCTGTATACTGAGGTCATCCAAGTTGACACAACCTTGTATCCGTAATCCATGTTCATTTGCAAGATGCAACAAGCAAATAAAGCATAAATGTGGAGATAGAGCCTCAATCGATGCTGACGCTCTGCATTCATTTGGTAAAGCAGCCAAGATGTGCTTGAAAGATACACTTTCTTCCTGCATATTATGATGTGAATGAATATAGATGTCTGATAAACAAGCTAAAAAGTAAACAAATAAAGCCCCGTCGATTAGAATGTCATGCTGATCAATGATGAGAGCACAAGCCTTGAAAACCGCTTAACAAAATGAGTCTTTAATAGACCTTTAACCATATCTATTAGAAAAGATTGGTAAAAGAAAAAGTTATAATGTCAGACTATTTAGTAGTTCTATAATCACATTAATGACTATGTAGTTATAATCATTTGCTTTACACCTTCCCATCCTATTGAGGGATTCAAGTTGGATCCTCGGTCAATCAGCAAGCTTATTTACAGAAAACAAAAGGATCTTGTGTCTACAGACTTGATTTCCAGGTCAGATATCAAGAAAATTTACATACTTGATTTGTTATCTACAAATTTCCTTCTCATCTAATTAGTTACTGTTATACTGGAGTATGAGATGTAGAGCAAAAGCAGAGTACTATACTCAATTTAGGAGTTAGGAATAAAGGAGAATTAGGTGGTGTTCATGCAAAATCCAGAACAAAGTCCTTCCATCCCAAATGAACCTACACGTTGACATGGTGTGAATTTCTAGCTATGAGTTGAAAATGTACCCCTAAACTTTAAAAGAGAGTCAGGTAAACTACTTTATAATAACAAGTGAAAGAAACTATGGGCAAAAAGATAATTCAGCCCCATTTATTGCCTCAACATTAATTTATATCAAAATCTTTTTGTTTGTGACATCACTAACTGTTTGGCAGAATTTATTGTTCATTTTAAATACAACTTTCATAAGTTCCAAGAATTCAAATTCATTTAACCAATCAACTGTGTACTCTTTGTTTACAGAGAAACGAAACTGTCACAAAACCAATCAACAAAAGATATATATAAGAAGTAATCCTTTAGTTTTAAATAACATATCCACTTTCCAAATGTATGTTACCACAGAAAAAAAATGAATCATTTACTCATCTCTTTACAACCTTTTCACTGGCTATTATATAAGAAGAGCAAAAAAGTAAAATGTTTGGTAAACACTAAATAATAATCTCTCCTTTTCGTTTCATGTGACAGCATCACTAGGCATGGTCTTAAGAAGTCAATTCTATATTATGTTTGTATATTAGTAGAATTCTACATGGGGAAAATGCATAAATCCACTCCAATCCAGGCCAAAATCGGAATCATTTCTGTGTTACCAAGAACACACTGCCAGTGAAGTAAAATGTTTGAACTTACCTTAACTGATGTTTGATTTAATTGGTCCCAAAGTGTTTCCTTAAGCACTTGAACATCTACTTGTTTGGATGTTTTATCATACTGGACTTCAATCTTGTTTACCTGTTAATTCAGACAAGGTAAACTAAGTTTGCTTCAAAAAACGTTCTTCATCTAGCAGATTCTACACCGAGGAACAAAATTATTTTCTCATAGCAACTGCGCAAAGAAAGTTGAAGTTTTTCTGTGGGAATTAAATTTCCATTAAGCAAGCAAAGTGAAAATTTAACATTTTTCTTCCCACAGATTAATTGACAAATAGCATGACTGAGGTTTCTTTTCTTCCTCCTATTTTCAGCCTAAAGAAATAAAGGAACTAATACTCATCAGTTCCTTAAAGGTTCTCACTTTAGCATTGCTATTTCTTTTCAACATAAACAATGACATATTACCAATAGTACCAAACAGCCAAAAAGAAAAAGGAAAAAAAAAATGGGTATAGCAGAGAATTAAAAGATTAGCCAATGGCGTGGAGTTCATAAAAATAAAAAACAGTGAACAGGGTTATTGAAGCAATAGGGCCAGGTAATTGCATAAGATAATATTGGTCATAACCAGTCCAGAACAAGTTGCTTAAATGTTTAGATCACAGTTCTGCAGGAGATCTCAATCTGTATAAATCATACCTTACCTAATGTTGGCCTAAGTGTTAAGTCGATACCAAATTAGGACAACATCTTCAACTCTTTTGCTTCGATTCTATTTGAGCTAAACTAGAGTATGCTTTTAACAACTCTTTTAAACGCTGGTCTTGTGCACACCTCGCCTATTCCCCCAGGTACTTACCACCTCCCACCAGCACATGAACCGGGTAACTTTACGCATCAAGGCTTACGCAAATGGGAAGAAATAACCAAACCTTTTTTTCCTGTGGTTGAATTTTAACCCTAGTCTCCCACGGTTCTCATTCACTTCAGTTAACAACTTTAGTCATCCAAGAAATTGACTTCTGTCATTAAAATAAAATATAATGATCTCTTACCTAATTCTAGGTCAAACCTAATCTAATCAAGTCTTGAGATCCCCACTAGCCTATAGCAATTAAGTTACTATTAGAGGAATCTAGATTACTACAAGTAAATATAGTCAACATTTGAGAGCAGGAACAAACCTGGCGAGGTTGAGAGACAAGTGTACTTGACTCCTCAACATCACTAAATGCATTGCCATCATCAAAAGTATCATCAAAAGCCCCAGGAAATCCACCATCATCATCCCAAGATGGCATAGCTCCAAAATCTTCACTTTGTTGACCGGCTTCATCTAACCAAAGAACCAGGCTAGTCAAGTCACATAATAACAAAAGTTTCATCTGTCACAATATGTTACATTCCTATTTCTGAAGAAAACTAATAAATATGCAGTAACTGGAGTAAGTTATTTCTATAAGCATAGAAGACAACAACAACAATCCAGTAGAATCCCACTAGTGGGGTCTTGCCGTCTGGGGAGGGTAAAGTGTACGCAAACCTTACTCCTACTCCGGAGGGATAGAGAGGTTGTTTACGGGAGACCCTCGGCTCAGAGACAATCTAGGAAATAGTCGAGTAGCCAATAGAGGGCGTTTGTATATACGGAAGAAGGGTTTAGGAAAGATAGCATGGTAAGCACTCTCATAAATCCAACTCAAAAGCAATAGCATAAAATTATTTAAAGCACTTAAAGAATTGTCATCTTTGCTAAGCCACATCTACATTACTGCCCTGGTAGACAAGAGTACCAAGCAAAAATGTATCACTAACGACCCGGCCGGTCGTTTTGAGTGTTGTAGCCCCGTGCTCCCATTTACTGCTTATTTTATGCTCATTTGTTGTTATGTGACTTGACGGGGTAATTGGTTCAGTTCCGGGATGTTTCGGAATGAGTTGAGACACTTAGTCTCAAGGTTGGAAGTTTAAGTTGAAAAGGTTGACCGGATGTTGACTTATGTGTAAATGGCTCCGGAATGGAGTTTTGAGGGTTCTGATAACTCCGTTGGGTGATTTTGGACTGAGGAGTGTGTCCGGATAGTGATTTGGAGATCCGTAGTAGATTTAGGCTTGAAATGACGAAAGTTGGAAAATTAGAAGTTTTGGAAATTGAGAAGTCTGACCGAGAGTTGCCTTTGTGGTTACCGGGATCAGATTTTGGTTCCGGAAGTTGGAATAGGTCTGTTGCGTCATTTATGACTTGTGTGCAAAATTTGAGGTCAATCAGACTTGATTTGATAGGTTTCGGCATATAATGTAGAAGTTAGGAGTTCTTAAGTTCATTAGGCTTGGATTGGGGTGTGATTCGTGTTTTTGATGTTGTTTGATGTAATTTGAGGCTTCGACTAAGTTCGTATGATGTTTTAGGACTTGTTGGTATGTTTGGTTGGGGTTTCGGGGGCCTAAGGTGGATTTCGGATGGTTAACGGAGTGAAATGGAACTTGGAAGACTGCTGAAGTTTGTTGGCGTTCAGGTCGCGATCGCGAAGGCTTGTTTGGGCAGCTAGGATTTTTACTCTACTCGTTTGCGAGTTGAGGGTTGCGATCGCGTAGGTTAGTGAAGAAGTGAATCGCGAACGCGTGGGCTAAGCCGCGTTCGCGAAGAGGAAATGAGGCAGGAGCTGAGTTCGCGCGTTTTGTTTCTTGGCGATCGCGTGAAGAGGGACGCGATCGCATAGGTCTGAGGTGACAGTGCTTTGCGTTAGCGTGGAGATTGTCGCGTTCGCGTAAGTTTAATTTTTGGGCAGCTTAGTTTGTGCTTCGCGATCGCGAAGCATTTTCCGCAATCGCAATTAAGGACTTCTGGACAGAATATTAAATCTCAAAAAATGAGGGTTTGAGTTTATTTCACAATTTGATTTTGGGAGCACGGTTTGAGGCGATTCTTGGAGAGATTTTCAAGAGAGTGATTGGGGTAAGTGATTCTTACTTTGTTTTGGTTAAATTACATGAATATATCTTTGATTTCATCATTTAATTAGTGATTTGGGTTGAACAATTGAGGGAAAATGGAGAAAACTTCTTAGGCCGAATTTTGGGGATTTGAGCGAGATTTGGTGTCAGATTTGAGTAATTTTGGTATGATTGGACTCGTGGTTGAATGGGTGTTCGGATTTTGTAACTATCATCGAATTCTGATACATGGGCCCGAGGGTTGACTTTTGATGAAGAACTTGGCATTTTCATATGGAATTGATTCCTATAACTTGAATTGATTGTATCGAATTGTTTGTGGCTAGATTCGAGGCATTCAGAGGCTGATTCGCGATAAAAGGGCTTGTTGGAGTAGAGATTTGCACGGTTTGAGGTAAGTAGCACTTCTAAACTTTGTTCTGAGGGTATGAATCCCTAAAATTACGTGGTATGTGGTTGGTGTTGAGGTGACACGCATGCTAGGTGACGGGCGTGTGGGTGTGCACCGTAGTAATTGTGATTTAGTCGATTCCATGGAACTGTGTAGTTATCTTATCTGAATATTATTACTGTACTCTATGTGTTAGGACACTTGAGTTGTGACTTATGCTAGAAATCATGTTTAGGCTATGTGCTGGTACTATTGGAACTCACAATGGTCGTTCTTTGCTGTTGAGTTATTTGTTTAATTCAGGGTTGTAAAAAGTGAGCGCCTCCTTGCTTAAAGCGAGAAGCGAAGCGAGCCGAGGTATCTGGCGCTTCTGTTAGCTGAAGCGTAACAGATTTGCAAAAGCGCTCGCTACTCTTGAAAAAGCGAGAAGCGATGCGAAGCATAAGAAGCGAGCGCTTCTCTTTATAACTGGGCTGCCAACTTATTTATTTAAAAAAGCTAGATTTTTTTAGAACACCATCGAGTAGCAACAACAGAGAAAGAAATAGGCGACTTAGGTTCAAGTTTTCTACACTTTTCAACTTAAGATAATCAAGTTTGGTCCCACGTATGTGATTTCTTCTTACTCCTCCTCCTTTTTCTTTCACTGTTTCAGCGTCCAAACAGCAGTGAAATGCTGGCAATTTTTTTTTCCCTTCAGTTCTTCTTTCTCATTCTTCTCCTCTTCTTCTTCATTTTCTTGCATTGTTTCAGTGATAAAAAGATTGAATTCGTTTCAGTTATACTGCCATTCTCGTATACTTACTGCATTTTTTTCCTATCCTTTATTCTTAGTTCTTATTGCCTTTCTTATATGTTATGTAGTTGTTCTTTTAATGGCACCAAAAGAAAATAGGAAAGACCCGGCTTGGGCTTATTTTGCAAGAGTTAGCGAGACCAACAAGATGGCAATTGGATGTCTTTTTTGTAACAAGATTTCAAATGGGGGAATCTATCGTCAAAAAGCGCGTCTAATCGATGGTGATCCAAACGTCGCATCTTATCCTAAAGTTTCGGCGCATATGAAGGAAGAATTGAAAGCATTCCTTAAAAAAAAGAGTTAAATACTCAAATGCTTCATGAACAAGAACTGCATAATTTTGATGATGACGATGATGAAATAGAAGAAGGTGACGATGGTTCGTCGCTTCCATCAAAATCACAAAAACGGGGAAGGATACAAACAATGTCTTCTAGTTGTGGATCTACTGGTAAGACTAAAGGTCCTATGGATTGTTATTTCCCGCAAAAACCAAGAGATAAGGGAGGGAAAAGTGGTAATCCTAAAAATTGATGCCAAAGCGATTTTGAGGGATCGTACAGTTGCAAATGTATGATGCAGGTCTTCCTTTTAATTGTGTTAATTATACTGACATTTTTTCTGCTTTTATAGAGGTCGTAGGCCAATATGGTCCAGGAATGAAGCCTCCAACTTATCATGAAGTTAGAGGTCCATATCTAAAAAAAGAGGTGGAAGAGACTAACAAAATCGTGGAGGAGCATAAAGTAGAATGGAAGTTTGGTTGTTCTATTATGATGGATAAGTGGACGGCAAGAAATGGAAAAATGATCATCAATATCTTGGTGAATTCT